GTATAATTGTATGAAGTACTTGTATTTGTCAATCTTTCAGTTATTATTCGTGGATGAAACGGTCGAAAATTGCACTTTTCATTATTGAAAACAAGGGAACAGGTTTTTGTCAAATTTTGATTTTAGTTTATTCAGCAGTTATTTGCGAATTAAGTGGCTAAAAACACAAGGCTGCAGAAATATCTCATAATAATATTATGTTCTGGAACTATTAACTGACTATCAAAACGTTTAATAAAAAGATCTATTAATTATGTCATAGGCAGGCATCCTACCGTCGATATCCAGGATGTCTTGGCTTAATCAGAATCCTTAATTAAAAATGTTGACGTAAAATGTAAAAATACATAATTGTAAAAAGTGAGCGGGTCTCCATTCGGCTGTACAGTTGGTTGCATATAAATGATAATTGTTTAAAGTGTGAATATATTTCGCAGTCTAATATTTCGTTGTTGGTACCATGTGCTCGAAATGAAACGTATTAATTATTTTTGGATAGTTTTAACTGGAGTACATTATCTACTTTTGAAATTAGAAAATAGGCACAGTGACATATGCCTGTAAGTTGTATAGGTAAAAAGGGATTTCAGTGTTTTAAAAGTAAATGTTAAAGGCAAAAACAAGGAGTGAATTATATCAGATATCAAAGCAATTTTTTATTTTTTCATGTAGTTAATATTTTTATACCTAACAAAAAACGCTGTTTTATTTTATTACACATTTCTAATGACAACCATAAAAGTTTATCGCCGTTTTACCGTTCCACTTTTTTACAATTCTCAGTAATATCTTCAGTGGTAATCAATTTTCCAAACGATCTCGCGTCCATCGATGCGTCAACGAAATGCTACTGTAAATTTCATATCTACATTAGACACACACGTATCGACCGCAATTCAATAAGTATTGAAAATTTACACTAAATAAAGCAAACGTGATAATATCCCGTCGATTCCGCGTGTCTATTTGATCCCTCCTGTTGGAGTGAAATAACTGCCGGGTATTATCCCCCTTATTCTGACGTTGCTGCTGTGTGGGTCCTATGATTTAATAAAATCAACTGAAGGGTGTAAGTTATTCAATTTAAAACTTTAAGGAATGCAAAGCGAATCGGCAATTCGCAATCGCCTCGCAGCAGCGTGACAGGTGATAACTTTAATATCGAAAGTATTTTATGGTCCCACATTCGTCTAATTGAAGCCTGCGTCATTCGACGATCGGCGGCCATCAACGAACGCGCTTTTCCAAATTAAATTCGGAAGGTAGATTTTGCGGGGAATTTATTCGACGGGTGCGCTTGGAAAGTTTGGATATTTCGACCTGATGTTGGTTTCGGGTCGTTTTCCTCTTTTTTGGGAATCTCAGGACTTAAGGAAGAAGAACATCACTTAAACAGAAATGTTGGAAATTTACAGTTATTTGAGAAACTGTGTTCATAAAAACTCTTTCACAATAACGAAAACGCGCCAAAATGAAACTATTTTTAATGGTGGAAGGCTTTACTTGTTGAAACTCCATAATCAATTGAAGGAAACGAAAGTAAAGTTTCAAAAAGTATATATCAACAGTTCACTACAATTGTTTCACCAAAACATTGGCCTCTTCAGGTGAAGATATTTTAATTAAAATTGTTAGAAATTCAGCTTAAATACTAAGAATTTACGAATTTTATGGGGTAGGAACAACGAAAAGGAGGGATAACGTAAGAATTTAAGTTTTTAAAGGCAAATTTAAATTTAATAAAGGAGAACTACTCACATCAGTTTGATCGTTTAGTAAAATATTTAATTTATTGTGTTTATTAATATAAAGACTTTCGGCTTTAGGTTTAATTTACAGCTTTTTGGCAATNGAATACGAGCCAGAAGCCAATAAGGGGAAAAACTCGACAAGGTACGACTGCCTCGAGCTATGCAAAAGAACATTCAAGAAATATTTGACTATCTTACCTATATCCATTTGAAACTATAGAAATTTTCAGTATAATAAAATAAAACAGGTTGAATAATGATAAGCAAATCTATCTCTGACTAAAAAAAAAATATTAAAATTAATCTGAAAATTCCAATTAATTTAACCGTTTATTACGCGACAGTGGCTCGGTATTGCAGGTAGAGATAGAGAAAATTGTAAAAATTAATGAAAATCCGTTTTTCCTTAATGAGTGACGGTTGTCCCCTTTGTCGTCGTGAAAGATATTCGTCAGATAATTAAAATTGGCGCGGTTCTTTTCGGTGTGTTTGTAAAGATCGAATTTAATTAACTTGCAGAAAGCGTTATATTTCAGAGTTGTCCTTCGGACGCGACGTTTCGTCCTCGATTTGATTCGTCGCTGTCGCGTTTGTCGCTTACGCTAGGACCTCTTTCGGTCACTGCGTATTGTCGGGCGGCAGTTGTCATGTGTCTTGTTAACATTTTTGGCGCTAGTGCCGGTGTCCGGTTGCACTGCGGAGCCCCCGTCGCACGGGTGGTCCTCGCTTGATTTATTGCGATACCAGTGTCGTTTGAATGTTCAAAAGCTCGCTCGCCGTGGCTCCGTCTCCGTCCTACGCTAGCGCATTAAGCGAGAGGGTCGCGAACGACGTGCGCCGCGAGCGGCTTAATGCCCGAAATAGGCGGCAGTTAGCGCTCGCGCCCGCGACAAGTTTAATTGCTCCGTATTATCGCTTTGATGATACAACTGCGTCCATGTTACAGCTTGGTATGTTCAACATGCCCTCGGTACTCGCATAATTAAGGGACTGAGTGTTTTATTGCGCCGTATTGAGAGTTTTCGTTAAATAGAGAGCAATAGAAAAAAATAACGTCCCTCGTTTGGTACACACGATGATATTTTTACGTTTTAGGGAGCTTTTCATTTTGATGCTTCAGGGTGTCTCAAAAAGCTAATGTGCTACTTACGTCGAATATAAACGTATAAAAAGAGGTTCAAATTTTAAGAATCCATATGTATAAAAGAAAGTCGTCTTAGTTACACCATTTATAACTCAAGAACGGCCGAACCAATTTGGCTGAAAATTGGTGGGGAAGTAGTTTACAACCGGGAGAAGGACATAGGATACTTTTTATCACGTTCCACGAGAAAAACGTGGTATATGTAAACGCAACTGTCACGGAATGACAAAACGCAAATGACAGTAAAACGAAAAATTTATAAATCAAATCATGTCTCGCCGTTCATTTGTTAAAAATGGTATAACAAAACGTAACTAACATGGAATAACAAAACGCAACTTTCAGCTAAACGTAATGTTGTCTATGGTTTAGTATGGTGTTTTATTTATAGTCAGATTTACCTGAAACTTGGCTTAAATGCTTTTTCATATAAAATTAGTGTCATACATACCTATTTCAACATTTTACAAAATTCTACCTCTTTAGGAAGCTGAAAGCCGTTTGCAAAGTTTGCATATTTGTTTTTGGTCCGATTTACTTGAAACTGGTTAAAAAATTCAATCTCTGTTGGGGTGGATGAGTGGTAAAGAGGAGTTGCAATGTTTAAATGGAACATATATTATTTGTGATCAGATTTACATGAAACTCCGTTTTAATGGTCTCTCATTTAATTTCTGAAAGATCTACCTCGACATCTTAAAAAAGGGGAAGGTGTTGCAATTTTTGTTTGGGACATACTTTATTTGTCGTTGAATTTACTTGAAACTTGGTATATATGCTGTTTGATATTATTAATCAAATGAAAACAGGTTTCAACGTTTCCATGGGGTATATTTTATTTGTACTCGGATTTACTCGAAAGTTGCTCATTGTTGAAATTAAGCAAATTTGTGTTCTGGCAATTTTTAAAAATCAACCCTAAAGGATGAAATGTTGCTACGTTTGTATTTGAAATCTAATATGGCGACGTTACATAAAATTAAAACGTTGTAAGGGTGAATTGGGAGTTAAAAGGTTTTATGGAGAAACAATATTAATTTGTGCGAGCGAAGCCGCGGGGAAAAGCTAGTCTTTTATAAAAATAGCAGGTACATGACGATAATTTTTTCGACCCAACAGGTCACATTTAGAATAACCAAAATTGAAAAGCGAAACCCATTCCTATGTGATGGTATGCAAGTGGAAACCAAAACCTGTCACTCCACAGTGTCCAGATAAGCTTTTTTAACTCCTAACTCAGTATTATAAAAAAAGGAACAGCAAGGGTCGTCAGTCCTAAGATTGACTGGACACCTCCACTATATTTGCTATCGTGAGCTATTTTTCGTTATTTCCGAAAACTATGGAACATCTATACTTTTGAAAAGAAGTACCAATCTATAGTCTTGTCTACCATACTTCTTGTAACACATCTCAAAATCCTGTAATATCTTTTATGTCTCCTGGGCTCCAACTATTTTCCTTTTCGAATTTCTTAATTAATCGATCGCGAGCAAAGAAGTGATTTTTTTATTTTAGGCAACTCGGCCCTGCGCTATCCTTGTTTTGTCTCCACCTTTACCAAATATTTTGAGTTATCTGTCTTTTTAAAATATATGCAGTGTAATTTTTACCAGAACATTAACTCACAAAGTTTCACATATTCTCATTTCTAGATTCCTAGTTTTCGTCTCAATTTTAAATGTCCTTTCTTTGTTGCAAGAACTACCATTTGATTTACTTTTCTAGTCTTATCTAACTTTCTTTATAATTTTATAACGTATTACGCATTAGGTAAGTTCCAATTTCACCCCTCTGGGCGTTGAATTTTAAAATAGCTTGAAACTATAATATCTAATTATTATTTGTCATAGAATTTTCATTAGAAAAATGTATTTAGTCTTCATTTTGTTTCCAGTCTGTTGTAGTTACTATTTTACTACTTTTTTTCTCAATTTTGCTTGATTGTTAGTTAAAATTTTAGTTAGTTAAAGTTAGTTAATTTTTATTGTTTATCGGCATGGAGTTCTAGAAAAGAAAAAAGACTGTAGTCTACTAAACCTCAAAAGAATAAAACTAAAACATAATTTTTCATTCATCTATTTATTAACATATACACAGTTCTTTTTCTGTATTAAAGTCATATTAATCATTGCACATAATTAGATAACACCTAGGTATACATATCTATAGGAAAATCCATTTACAATTAGAGATCAGTCTATCGCTAAAAACACTATATCAACGAACACAAGGTAATGCATATTTACAACACTTATGACAATAACGAGTACATGGATTGATATTTTCGCAAATACGATAACACATGTGCAGATATTTATGTATTTGTAAACGATATAGGTACAATGAGTTGTTTCTTTTATTTTTTTTTTAATAAACTAATTTTGAAAAATATTTTTTAAAGAAAATTTAGAGGTACATTTACTCTAGAATGATAAGTAAACATCACTCGCATTTAATTTTTGTGATTATACTTACCTATCGTAAAATGCAGATATTTAAATAATTTTTTCCCAGCTAATTGTTTGTAATCTTCAGAAGACTTAAAACTTCCTATTCTAACGGATTTTGGTTTCGCAAAGTTTTTGTTATTACATATTTAATTTTCTACACACCGTGTATTTTTTATACAGTAAAAGCATCTACTGTATCTACGAATTGTCACAATCAGTAGTACATTGATGATGGTTTTCATTCTTGTTGCGGTTTCAGCTCTTGATGCTCAGTTCGTCTTCATCGCACGGAACTGTGGAGTGGTTGTAAAGCCCTTGAGCCATGAGTTGTAACGCGAGCGGGTTTTTCTGGCCGGAGGCCTTCTTGATTTTGGCTCTCTTGTTTTGAAACCATATCTTTATCTGGGCCTCGTTAAGACCGAGCTCTTGGCTCAACTGTTGGCGACGTCTTTCGGTTAAATAACGATTTTCTGCGAACTCGTGTTTGAGACGGGCCAACTGCGAGCCGGAAAATGCGGTACGGGGACGTTTTTCTTCGGTTGCTTTGTCCTTCTTCACACGTCTGGAACGTGGACCTGTAACAAGGCTAAAACATTAGGTAATAATAGTTGAAAGTTCTTTATCCAATGAAAAAACGTAATCACTATGACATTTTTAATTACTAATAGTGGTTAATATGCTATATTAATGTGAGAATTCATTTTCGATTTTCCATCCGCCACAAACTTCCTAGGGGGTGTGACAACAGCTACAAAAATATTTTTCCTCGTTAACCTGAGGAAGTTTGTAGTGGATGGAAAATCGAAAATGAATTTTCACATTAATATAAAAACGTAATAGTATTGGATACTGAGATTTGGTTGTGGTATATTTACAGAAATTATTAAAATACTATAATAGATAATAGTTGAAAACTTTTTTATCATTATCATAAGGTCGTCGGTTCTAGGACTGGTTGAACATGCACCTCCACTCTTTCCTATCCTTAGATTGTCTTTACGTTTCCTTATAACTAAAGCATCCTTCATCCTTAACTATTTGTGAATAGTAATCTAATCTAGGTCTACCTGTACTCCGCTTAACTCTTGTTTCTACTACTAATATGTCTGACTAGTCCTTCAGTCCAAGAAGGTGTCCTACCAACCCATCTCGCCTATTTCTTATTGACATCCGTAGAGTCCTCTGTTTTTCCATTCCTTCTAATACCTTTTCATTTCTAATATTTTCTAACTCTTTCTATCCACGGTATTCTCATTATTCGCCTGTAGCATCATATTTCGAACGCTTCCAAATTTTTCTTTACCGCCGCGCCCACTGTCCATGTTTCGCACCCGTACAGCACCGCGCTGCGGACATTTTAACAATCTTTTTCTAATTTCTAAATTAACCATTCGCGAGCACAGAAATGAGTTCTTTTTATTCGACTTTACTCGACCCTGCGCTATCCTCTGTTTTATATCGCTGCTGCTCCTTCCATCTGACTTCCTATATTCCGAAAATTCGTTTCCTAATATCTTTATATTCGCTTTTTCCCTACTTGGTCCTCCATTATATACCAGTGTTTTTGTTTTAGTTTTATTTATCTTCATATAAAACAGCACTTAAAGTAGGCAATGTTTATAAATACGAAGAAGAACCTTTTTCATTAGTAAAAATGTATCAAATTGAAAATGTACCACCGGGGATTTCGGCCAGTTTATAAAAGCATTTGGTAATGTTTGTGAGTTTTTTTTCAATTGAGTCTTAATTTCTATAATCGCAAAATGAGAACCTCTATTTTCGTGTTACAATTTTAGAGTTGCATGTCTGTTATGTGGACTCATCTAAGTATATCTAGTGAAAACATCATTTAATTATTATTTAATTCGTGGATATTTATGAGCAAAAATATTAGATGCGTATTAGTCCTGTTATAAATAAGGGTTAAAATCCCCGAACGAAGTAGGTGTATCTATTTATAGTAGGTTCGGTTTTGAAAGCACGATGTGAGAAACAATTCCTTTAGGCCTTGGCAGCGGTTTTCTTCATTGTGACATTTGGGTCCTGGTGAAGTCGACATTTGTATCTAATTAGAGCAATTGTGGCTGCGCCAAGCGAAGTGTGCAGGACATTAGCGAGGTATTAATGGGGTTGAAATATGGCCCGGAAGGGACGCCCGTCGCTATTATGGCCCTATTTAGGACCAGCCGGTTCGTTACGCTTTGAAATACGCGACGGACACTTGGATTTATTGACGTTCTCGTTATTATATTACGTACGTATCTCGTGTGCGTACCTACGGTACGTAATATATATGTGCGTATAATAAGTAAATACATATTTATGTTGCATCTACAATAAAATATATGTGGGTACGTCTGTTATGTATCTACACCGGTTATGATAAGTCAAGTTCGCTCGCTATCATGAATTCGAAATACCTTCATAAACATAGTTAGATATCATACCTACAAACATGGATGTTTCCTACAATTCATCATGGATTTATTATTGCACATGTTTGACTGTGTAACATTCGATTTAATTAAAACTTAAATATCTTATTGGAACGTATGACGCCACGTAACACATGAGTAGGTACACAGAACTTATGTACACTAACGGTGAATTGAGAACCGAACATATTAGGGATGTTCTATTACGAGTAATATTAAAGGGTGTCATCATCTTCTGAAAAATACTACGTTCTGTCAGGAATTTTGTGCAAATACTGTAAGGATGTTTGGGAGGTATGTCAAAATGCTACGAGACANTTTTAGTCAGTGGATTTTTCTTCTCAGATGACGCTGATCGAACAAAAAAGATCTATATATACTGATTAAAAAATCTAAATTGAGAAAATCTTCGATCTAATCCTATTTACTGCTTTATTGGCTTTAATTCTGCATATTCTGGAATAAGGAAAAGCAATGAAAACTGTTAAAAAAAGCATCTTTTTGATTAAAACTGTTTATAGGATAGAGCATTTATATTTTTGACGAATACATTTATTATAAATCTACCGTTTATTCTTGTTATAATTTTTCTTGTTCACTACGATTGAGTTAGTAGGTACCTAATATATGTTCGAATTGCCCTTGCACGAATAGGTACCTTTTTTTTATCAATAAGCGTAGCGTTTTGTGACGTTTGCAAATAACGAAAAGACAGTTGCAATTTTCTTCACCCACCAACTGTTACGCCATACGATTCTTATCTTTTTTTTGTGTTTGCTCGAATAATGTCTTTATAATTATTGATAATTCCATTGTCGTTAATATTTCGTTATTTCCTTTCACGTTCTAATGCGAAAAAAAAGTGAAAGGATGTAACAAAATTGCACCTGTAAAAAAAGGAATGAATAAAAAGCTAACGTTGCCAAAATACGAGACTAAATATGGTATAATTGTATGAAGTACTTGTATTTGTCAATCTTTCAGTTATTATTCGTGGATGAAACGGTCGAAAATTGCACTTTTCATTATTGAAAACAAGGGAACAGGTTTTTGTCAAATTTTGATTTTAGTTTATTCAGCAGTTATTTGCGAATTAAGTGGCTAAAAACACAAGGCTGCAGAAATATCTCATAATATTATGCTCTGGAACTATTAACTGACTAACAAAACGTTTAATAAAAAGATCTATTAATTATGTCATAGGCAGGCATCCTACCGTCGATATCCAGGATGTCTTGGCTTAATCAGAATCCTTAATTAAAAATGTTGACGTAAAATGTAAAAATACATAATTGTAAAAAGTGAGCGGGTCTACATTCGGCTGTACAGTTGGTTGCATATAAATGATAATTGTTTAAAGTGTGAATATATTTCGCAGTCTAATATTTCGTTGTTGGTACCATGTGCTCGAAATGAAACGTATTAATTATTTTTGGATAGTTTTAACTGGAGTACATTATCTACTTTTGAAATTAGAAAATAGGCACAGTGACATATGCCTGTAAGTTGTATAGGTAAAAAGGGATTTCAGTGTTTTAAAAGTAAATGTTAAAGGCAAAAACAAGGAGTGAATTATATCAGATATCAAAGCAATTTTTTATTTTTTCATGTAGTTAATATTTTTATACCTAACAAAAAACGCTGTTTTATTTTATTACACATTTCTAATGACAACCATAAAAGTTTATCGCCGTTTTACCGTTCCACTTTTTTACAATTCTCAGTAATATCTTCAGTGGTAATCAATTTTCCAAACGATCTCGCGTCCATCGATGCGTCAACGAAATGCTACTGTAAATTTCATATCTACATTAGACACACACGTATCGACCGCAATTCAATAAGTATTGAAAATTTACACTAAATAAAGCAAACGTGATAATATCCCGTCGATTCCGCGTGTCTATTTGATCCCTCCTGTTGGAGTGAAATAACTGCCGGGTATTATCCCCCTTATTCTGACGTTGCTGCTGTGTGGGTCCTATGATTTAATAAAATCAACTGAAGGGTGTAAGTTATTCAATTTAAAACTTTAAGGAATGCAAAGCGAATCGGCAATTCGCAATCGCCTCGCAGCAGCGTGACAGGTGATAACTTTAATATCGAAAGTATTTTATGGTCCCACATTCGTCTAATTGAAGCCTGCGTCATTCGACGATCGGCGGCCATCAACGAACGCGCTTTTCCAAATTAAATTCGGAAGGTAGATTTTGCGGGGAATTTATTCGACGGGTGCGCTTGGAAAGTTTGGATATTTCGACCTGATGTTGGTTTCGGGTCGTTTTCCTCTTTTTTGGGAATCTCAGGACTTAAGGAAGAAGAACATCACTTAAACAGAAATGTTGGAAATTTACAGTTATTTGAGAAACTGTGTTCATAAAAACTCTTTCACAATAACGAAAACGCGCCAAAATGAAACTATTTTTAATGGTGGAAGGCTTTACTTGTTGAAACTCCATAATCAATTGAAGGAAACGAAAGTAAAGTTTCAAAAAGTATATATCAACAGTTCACTACAATTGTTTCACCAAAACATTGGCCTCTTCAGGTGAAGATATTTTAATTAAAATTGTTAGAAATTCAGCTTAAATACTAAGAATTTACGAATTTTATGGGGTAGGAACAACGAAAAGGAGGGATAACGTAAGAATTTAAATTTTTAAAGGCAAATTTAAATTTAATAAAGGAGAACTATTTATATCAGTTTGATCGTTTAGTAAAATATTTAATTTATTGTATTTATTAATATAAAAACTTTCGGCTAGGTTCAATTTATAGCTTTTTGGAAATTCTTTTAAAATTTGAAAATTATAATTAAATGTGTGTCTCTCCTTCAATAAATGTTCTGCATGTGTAGAATCAGCTTTCCCAATAGTATAGCTCGCTCCTTCTGTGTTCTGTAATCCTTTGATTGAAGGATCTCCCAGTTTGCCCAACGTAGACTTGATTACAGGCCCCCTCATTCCACTAAATAACTCCTGATTTTGATTCTTTATCAGTTTTATCTTTATTATGTTTTATAAATTTGGCTAGCTCTTGTTGTTCCCGCCCCAAAAAATTCGTAATCTCTTAGTATTTAAGCTAAGTTTGTAACAATTTTAATTAGAATATCTTCACCTGAAGAAGCCAATGTTTTGTTG